ATACAGCGCCCAGCCTGTGGTGGGGGATCTGCCCGCTCCCTAGAGCCTGCCCCACGGTGGGGGGGCCGTACAGTCCTCGGCCCACAGCGGGGGTCTGCCCACTCCCTAGAGCCCTGCCCCACGGGGGGGGGTCCATACAGCGCCCAGCCTGTGGTGGGGGATCTGCCCGCTCCCTAGAGCCTGCCCCACGGTGGGGGGGCCGTACAGTCCTCGGCCCACAGCGGGGGCCTGCCCACTCCCTAGAGCCCTGCCCCACGGGGGGGGGTCCATACAGCGCCCAGCCTGTGGTGGGGGATCTGCCCGCTCCCTAGAGCCTGCCCCACGGTGGGGGGGCCGTACAGTGCTCGGCCCACAGCGGGGGCCTGCCCACTCCCTAGAGCCTGCCCCGCGGCGGGGGTCCGTACAGCGCCCAGCCTGTGGGTGGGGGGTCTGCCCGCTCCCTAGAGCTTGCCCCACAGCGGGGGGGGTCCGTACAGCACCCAGCCCAAGGGGGGGGGAGGGATCCGTACAGCACTCAGCCTGCAGCAGGGGGTCTGCCCAATCCCTAGAGCCCTGCCCCACAGCGGGGGGTCCATACAGCGCCCAGCCTGTGGTGGGGGATCTGCCCGCTCCCTAGAGCCTGCCCCACGGCGGGGGTCTGTACAGCGCCCGGCCCGCGGCGGGGGCCTGCCCACTCCCTAGCACTCCACCCCGTAGCGGGCGAAGTGGCGCAGCAGCACGCCCAGCTCCAGGTGCACGGTGCCCGCGGCGCTGGTCTGCAGGCGGTACCGGTCGGCCCCCGTGTAGATCAGGTCACTGTTCAGCAGCTGGGGCCCCCCGCCCACAAAGAGCTGGGAGAGCCGTTCCTGCCAGGAGCCCAGGGGCTGCCAGGTGACGCAGGCCAGCGCGTGCCAGCCCGGGCTGCACGGCACGTGGCAGAAGCCGTAGCCGTAGAGCTCCCTGCGCCCGAAGGAGTCCTGGTGCCAGACCTGCACGTGCAGCTTGGGCCAGCCTGACGGCAAGAGAGAGGGGACCCGTCAGTGCCCTGCCCCGCTCCGCAAGCCGGCTGCCCCCTGCCCCATTCCCTGCCCCCAAGCCACAGTCCTGCCCTGGGGCCGGATGGGAGCCACCAGCATTTATCCACTTCTGCAGCCGAGGCCACAAGGAGCTTCTGGAAGTGGGGGGATGAACGGCTGCGCCTGCCCCACCTGCCCCCCACCCTGCTCCCACCCCCAGCTCCGGCGGGGCCAGAGGGAGGGGGAGAAAAGCCCCAGGGGAGACAGGACTGGACAACAAACGGCCTCTGGCGTCTCACACAACTGGAGGGAAATTCCTTCCACTGAGAGAAATTAATTCATGCCTGGCCAGGGCTGCCTTCCCCGTCCCTGCCCCCCACGAGCCACGGCTTCCTGCCCCCCAGCTCCTGTCTGGAACCCGCAGCCTTCCCCCAGCTCCTGGGCCACCAGCCCAGTG